CTCAAAAAAAATTATATATATATATATATATATATATATATATATAGACAGGAAGGTGGCCAAAAGGAAGCATTTGCTTTCTTCTTCTCAATGACTGTTTTAAATGTAATAATTTCATCAGGGATGTTAACATTTCATACTGATGAGGCCAACAAAAAAACCACCCAACGCTGTCCCATAGAACACTAACAGATGAACAGAACCATGACCAAATTCCAACAGTCACCGTCCTCCTTTCGTGTTTCAGGAGTATAATGTGTATGGCTGGTGGGTAGGAGAACTGAACAGCCTCGTTGGGATTGTTCCAAAGGAGTATCTGACCACCGCCTTTGAAGCGGAAGAAAGATGAAGCCCAGGTGTCGGAACCATTGTCAACAAACCAGGTTAGTTAAGTAGAGCTTGTCGGCCATGACTTTGTTTCTCTGTGAATGATGAGGGTTGTCAGTGAAGTCACTTTTCTTCATTTCCCAAAGCAATGCAAATGAGTCACCACCGAAAGGAAATGGAGACTGGGCATGGTGACTCACGCCTGTCATCCCAGCACTTTGGGAGGCCAAAGTAGGAGGATTGTTTGAACCTGGGAATTCGAGACCAGCCTGGGCAACATAGCAAGCTTGTTTTACAAAAATTTTAAAAAGTAAGCTGGATGTGGCCACGCATGCCTGTAGTCCCAGCTATTTGGGGGAGGCTGAGGTAGAAGGATTGCCTGAGCCCAGCAGGTTGAGGCTACAGTAGCCATGAGCATGCCACTGCACTCCAGCCTGGGTGACAGAGTGAGACTCTGACTCAAAAAAAAGAAAAAAGAAGAGAGAGTCTGGAATTCTTTTTTTCCCCTAATTTTTTTTTTTTTTTTAATTGTAGAGATGAGGTCTTGCCAAGTTGCCCAAGCTGGTCTCAAACCTTCGAGCTCAGGCAAGCCTCTCACCTCGGCCTCCCAAAGTGCTGGGATTGCAGGCTTGAGCCACTGTGCCCGGCCTTTTTTTCCTAAACTTAAGCACACTGTCACTTAGCATTGGGTTCAACCAATAGTGACAAAAAATCTAAAAGAATAGTACCTCAATTAATACAGAACTTTATTTTTCTCTTCTGTAAAACCTGGAGGTAAGTGATTCAAGATTTCCAGTCCCAGGGACCTTCTCTTTTTCACTCTCTGTGTCCCCAAAGTTACCTCATGACCAGTATGGATGCTCCAGTGCCAGCCGTCTTGTCTGCATCCTACACAGCAGGAAGGATAAATGAAAGGAGCTGGGCATACCCTCACCCACTGAGGACGCTTCACAGGCGTTGCACACACACTCTGCTTTCAATGGGCCAGAAGTTGAATATACAGACACATCAAGGGCAAAGAAAGCTTATAGCCCCATGACCAACTCACAGTGGAGGGCTCACGAGTAAATTAAAAGGGGAGAATGGGTGTTGGGAGACAACCAGGAATTTTTGCCACAAGGATGGATCTGGGTTGATTCCCAGTTCTCAAATCCGGTTCCCCGAAATGCCCACATATTGCAATATGACTGACTAAGAATAGGAACCCCATATGGGATTCCTATGGAACATAATCAGTTTCACTTTTAAGTAATAAAGAATATCGCTTGGCCCAGTGTGGTGGCTCACGCCTATAATCCCAGTACTTTGGGAGGCTGAGGTGAGAGGATTGCCTGAGCCCCAGGGTTTGAGACCAGACTGGGCAACTTGGTGAGACCTCGTCTCAACAATAAATCAAAAAATTAGCCAGGCATGGTGGCACGTGCCTGTGGTTACAGCTACTTGGACAGCTGAGGTGGAAGGATCACCTGAGCCCAGCAGGTCGAGGCTGTGGTGGCTAGGAGTGTGCCAGTGGCCTCCAGCCTGGGTGACAGAGTGAGACTCTGACTCAAAAAAAAAAGAATATAGCTTGTGTTTGGTGGTGGGGGGGTTGTGTGTATTTTGTTAGTTTGTTTTTTGAAGTGGAATCTCACTCTGTCACCCAGCCATGGCACACTCACAGCTACCCCAACGTCAACCTACTGGGCTCTGGCGATCCTTCCGCCTCAGCCTTCCAAGTAGCCAGAACTACAGGCGTGTGTTACTACACCCAGCTATTTTTTTATTTTTATTTTTATATTTTGAGTTGGAGTCTCACTCTGTCGCCCAGACTGGAGTGTAATGGCCGCTGCCGGCCACCGCAGCCTCGACCTGCTGGGCTCCGGCAATCCTTCCGCCTCAGCCTTCCAAGTAGCTGGACCTACAGGCGCGCGGTACCACACCTGGTTAATTTTTTGATTTATTGTAGAGATGAGGTCTCACCAAGTTGCCCAGGTGAGTCCTGAACCCGCGGGCTCAGGCAATCCACTCACCTCAGCTTCCCAAGGCGCAGGATTACAGGCTGAGCCACCGAGCCCGGTCTTATTTTTTTATTTATTGTAAAGACCGGGTGTCACCAAGTTACCCTGGCTGGTCTCGAACCCATGGCTGAGGCAATTCATTCACCTCAGCCTCCCAAAGAGATGAGATTACAGGCTAAGCCACCAAGCCCGGCCATCTTGTGTTTTGTGAGCAAGAATCACCTAGTATTTTATTTTTTTTTTTGAGTTGGAGTTTCACTCGGTCGCCCAGACTGGAGTGCAGTGGCCGCTTCCGGCCACCGCAGCCTCGACCTGCTGGGCTCCGGCGATCCTTCCGCCTCAGCCTTCCAAGTAGCCGGAATTACAGGCATACGCTACCATGCCCAGCTGATTTTTTGATTTATTGTAGAGATGAGGTCTCGCTGCCCAGGCGGGTCTCGAACCCGTGGGCTCAGGCAATCCACTCACCTCAGCCTCCCAAAGGCGCGGGGAATCACCTAGTATTTTAAAACATGGGAAGTGACTGGGCACAGTGGTTCACGCCTGTAATCCCAGCACTTTGGGAGGCAGAGGTGAGAGGATTGCCTGAGCGCAGGAGTTCAAGACCAGCCTCTGAGCAACATGGTGAGACCTCGTCTCCAAAATAATTCAAAAAATTAGCAGGGCATAGTGGCACGTGCCTGTAACTCTAGCTACTTGGAAGGCTGAGGCAGAAGGATCACCTGAGCCCAGCAGGTTGAGACTGCAGTGGCTGTGAGCGTGCATTGCACTCCAACCTGGGCGACGGTGAGAAACCAACTCAAAATAAATAAATAAAACAGGAGGAGTGCTTGGTTTGGGTGGGTAACAATAGGAGCCCCTCTGGTTGTCTAGAATGGGGATTGTGATGGAAGGCCCCCAAGACTAGTATGATGTCACTAGCTCCATCTTCCGGCCTAAAAGGAGAGCAGCCTTTATAGCTGGGGCTGCAGGACAGTATCCATGGGACAGTGATGCAAACAGTCCTTGGAGGCTTCCAGACCAGGGCCCACTCTCGTGTGCAGCAGCAGCTGAGTGAATTCATCTAGGGAAATACACAAGGACAGATCTGACTCTCCGATGCCCTGTACAACCCCAAAGCACCAACTCAGCCCTGTCGCCCAAAATTGATTTGATGACATTCCCAGTGAGGACTCTCTTTTCCTGGCCATGAATGCAGAAGGATTGGAATTTTTCTGTCAAATCTAAACAGATTCACTGCGCTTCACTTTGTCATGTATTTAAAGTTGTTTCCTTATTCTCTTTGACCCAATAATTCTACTTCCAGGAATGTATCCTACAGCTACATTTGCACATATGCAAAATGATATGAGCACAGTTCATTTGTAATAGCAAACAGTGGGCAATGATCCAAATGTTCATTAGAGAGCTAGTCAAATCATTATAGGACATTCATGGAATTGAATAATATGCAACAATAAAAAAGAAAGGGAAACTGTTATGGAATACATTCTGAGATATGTTGGTAAGTTAAAAAAGATGCAAAGAAGAGTGACCCAGTTTTGCCCCATTGGTGTAAAAAGGGGTAGAAGCCAGGTGCAGTATCTCACACCTATAATCCCAGCACTTTGAGAGGCCAAAGGGAAAGGATTGTCTGAGCCCAAGAACCCAAGACCAGTCTGGGCAACATGAAGAGACCCTGTGTCCACAATAAATCAAAAAATTAGCCAGGCATGATGGCACATGCCTGTAGTTCCAACTACTTGGAAGGCTGAGGCAGAAGGATCACCTGAACCCAGCAGGTTGAGGCTGCAGTGGCTGTGAGCATGCCACTGCACTCCAACCCTGGATGACAGAGTGAGACTCTGACTCAAAAAAAAAGGGCGGCGGCGGGGAGTGGAGCTGGGCACAGTGGCTCACGCTTGTAATCCTGAGGCCAAGATAGGAGGATTGCTTGAGCCAAGGAGTCCAAGACCAACCTGGGCAACATAGCAAGACCTCATCTCTACAGAAACACCAAAAAATTAGCTGTGTATGGTAATGCATGTCTATATTCCCAGCCACTCAGTAAGCTGAGGTGGAGGGGGTCACCTGAGCCCAGGAAGTCAAGGTTGCAGTGAGCTGTGATCGTGTCACTGCCAGCCAGCCTGGGTGACGAGTGAGACCCCAACTAAATAAAAAACAAAATGAAAAAATTAGTCAGGCTTGGTGGCACACACCTACAGTCTCAGCTACTTATGAGGCTAAGACAGGAGGATTGCTTGAGCCCAGGAGGTCAAGGCTGCAGTGAGCCATGATTGTGCCACTGCGCTCCAACCTGAGTGACAGAGTGAGATTCCAACTCAAAAAAGGAGGGAGTGGAGACTCTACCTATCTGTTTATATATGCATGAGATATTTCCAGAGGGAGACACAAAATGACAACATGGTTGCCTCCAAGGACAGAAAAACTCATGACTGTGAGACAGGATAGGAGGGAAAACTCTTCACTCTGCATGCGTCTGTATTTTGAATCATAAAACAAATGGATGTATTTTTCTTCCTTTAGGAAACAGTTTTCTCTCCATCCTGCCATTATGAAGAAACTGACCATCAAGAGCTCCCCCCGGCTCCCACCACCCCGCCAATGCCATGGACTCCTCTCTACCAAAGAGACCAAGTCTCTGACACCTCAGAGTGACTATAAACCACCATAAGACAAGTGGGAAGAGGCACATTCATCATGCTTGTCACTAAAACAGCCTAGCCACAGCTCATCCCCATCTGTAAACGTGTCTGCACATCTGCATCTGCCTTTTCCACGGGCTTGTCACAAAGAAAGGGGAGAGAAGGAAGCCTCGGGAGGAAGGAGTTGCTGGTGGTTTGGCCGGGGTGAAAAACACAAATAAATTTCACGTTTGGTTCCTGGCCATGTGTGATGGTGGTGACTTCCTTTTTGAAGTGGTGTCAAAATGTCAGCTCTGGGCATTCTTGGCACCTCCAAACAACGTGGGAAGGGACAGCCCAAGAGAAAACAAAAGCCCAGACAAAAAAGGAGACCTGCAGTTGTCTTTCAGGGCAGAATCATCTCTGGAGCCCAGGTCAGCTGGTTTCCGGTCTCCTTCTCAGACTTCCTTTGGGTGGCTATGTGGGTTTGTTTTGTTTGTTTTTGTTTTTTTGTTTTTTGAGTTGGAGTCTCACTCTGTCGCCCAGACTGGAGTGCAGTGGCCGCTCCTGGCCACCGCAGCCTCGCCTGCTGGGCTCCAGCGATCCTTCCGCCTCAGGCTTCCGAGTAGCCGGAATTACAGGCATGCGCTACCACGCCTGGCTGATTTTTTGATTTATTGTAGAGATGAGGTCTCGCTGCCCAGGCGGGTCTCGAACCCGCGGGCTCAGGCAATTCCCTCACCTCAGCCTTCCAAAGGCGCGGGATTACAGGCTGAGCCACCGAGCCCGGCTTGTTTTGTTTTTTTTAGTTGGAGTGTCACTCTGTCGCCCAGTGCAGTGACCGCTCCTGGCCCCCACAGCCTCGACATGCTGGGCTCCAGCAATCCTTCCGCTTCGGCCTTCCAAGTAGCTGGAACTAAAGGCACGCGCTACCACACCCGGCTAATTTTTGATTTATTGGAGAGATGAGGTCTCACCAAGTTGCCCAGGCGGGTCTCGAACTCGTGGGCTCAGGCAATCCACTCACCTCAGCCTCCCAAGGCGCGGGATTACAGGCTGAGCCACCGAGCCCGGCTTTGTTTTGTTTTTGAGATAGGCTTTTATTCTGTCACGTAGGCTGGAGTGCAGTGGCACAATCATGGCTCACCACAGCTTTGAACTCCCAGGTTCAAGCAATCCTCCTGCTTCAGCCTCCCAAGTAGCTGGGACTACTGGCACATGCCACCATGCCTGGCTAATTTTTTGACGTGTTATTTTTTCTTACGTGCTTAATGTGTCTGAAATGAGGCAGAGCCAGAAGCAGGGCCTTGAAGTCAGCACGTTGGAGAGTTCATCTTCAGGCCTCAGTTCATGAACAACCCGCTGTGTTGCAACAAATCTCAGGTAGGGGCTGAGGAAATGCTTCGAAAGGGCCAAGTGTGGATACAAAGTTTCCTGTTTCTCTCTCCTGCTGCTTGTAACTAGCACTCAGGTTACCTGCACGTTGACAAGACAATAGCATGTACTAGTTAAGAACATAATGTCTGCAGCTGGGTGCGGTGGCTCACGCCTGTAATCCCAGCATTTTGGGAGACCGAGGCAAGAGGATTGCCTGAGCCCAGGGGTTCAAGACCAGCCTAGGCAAGACCTCGTCTCTACAATAAATAAAAAAAAAAATTAGCCAGGCATGATGGTTCATGCCTGTTGATCCAGCTACTTGGTAAACTAAGGTGGAAGGCTCACCTGAGCCCAGGAGGTTGAGGCTGCAGCAGTCGTGATCGTGTGACTGCACTCCAGTCTGGGTGACAGGGTGAGACTCCGACTCAAAAAGAAGGAACATAATGTATACAATCAGACAGCCTAGGAATAAATTCCAGTTCCCTGTTTACTGTGTTCTCTAGAGCAAGTTGTGAGACCCTTTATGCCTCAGTTTCCTCCACCTTACAAGGTGAATCACTGGGTTATTTGGTAATGAGGAACATTAACAGAGTCAACATGTGTAACGGTACTTGGGAACAATGACTGGCCTGTAGAACTTGCTCAGTAAGGGCGATCTACTGCTACTGCCTGACCCTCTAAAGGAAAGTTTTTTGAGACAGACAACTGAGCAGCTAGACAGATGCCTGTTTAGGGCAACCCTGGATTGGCAATAACCTTCCTCTCCTCTGTAACCACCATATTGTAGCCCTGGAGTAAGACACCCATCTTACATAACAAGAAAGGGACCAGGGAGCAAACAGGGGTGTCAGTGATTCCAAATTTCTCCAAAAAAAAAAAGTGTGCCAACTTTCCATTTCCAGATTTTCTGACCCTGGAGTACAAAAAGGAAAACTTTTGGTGTATGATACAAAGACGTGGATGAAAAAGGGAACAATTTGGGTTTAGAAAGAAAAACCGAGGCCAGGCTCGGTGGCTCAGCCTGTAATCCCAGCACTTTGGGAGGCTGAGGTGAGTGGATTGCCTGAGCCCACGGGTTCGAGACCCACCTGGGCAACTTGACAAGACTTCATCTCTACAATAAATCAAAAAGTAGCCAGGTGTGGTATTGCGCGCCTGTAGTTCCAGCTACTTGGAAGACTGAGGTGGAAGGATCGCCAGAGCCCACAGGTCGATGCTGCAGTGGCCGGGAGCGGTCACAGCACTCCAGACTGAGTGACAGAGTGAGACTCCAACTCAATGAAAGAAAGAAAGAAAGAAAGAAAAACCAAGTAAGATCAAAGGCAGTAATATGGAGGTGTCCATAACGCCCCTCCATGTTACACAGGTTGCTAAAGGAGAAGGAACCACTAGGTGGCAGCATATGAGCAGGTGAACAAAAAGAACCAATGGCCTCCAGTTTTAGAAACCTTTGCACCAATCCCAACTCACAGGTAAGGACAATGGGCATTGTTCTAAAGTGTTCAGCAGAAGGAGCAAACACAAACCCCTCTATGCAGACTCCCTTCCTTACCTGGAGAACCTCCAGGACCCAAGTCTAGAAGGCTGGTTGACTGAGGGGTGAGAATACCATCGTGCCACTGTTCAGTGACCAAGAGACACCAGAAAAAGGAGATATCAAAAGAGAAAGAACAAGTCGGGTTCGGTGGCTCAGCCTGTAATCCCGCGCCTTGGGAGGCTGAGGTGAGTGGATTGCCTGAGGCCACGGGTTCGAGACCCACCTGGGCAACTTGGTGAGACCTCATCTCTACAATAAATCAAAAATTAGCCGGGCGTGGTAGTGCGCACCTGTAGTTCCAGCTACTTGGAAGGCTGAGGCGGAAGGATCGCCGGAGACCAGCAGGTCGAGGTTGCGGTGGCCGGGAGCAGCCACTGCACTCTAGTCTGGGTGACAGAATGAGACTCCAATTCAAAAAATAAAAATAAAAATAAATTTTAAAAAAGAGAAAGAACAGATATGTGGACTGGGTTGAAAAGGGTTGCTGAAAATGGAACAAGGTCAAGATAACTCCTTCATTCCCTGCACAGTTCAACGCCCTCTAAATAACAGGGCCATTGGCTTCCAACATGTAAAACAAAATGCCTTAGTGCACGAGACCTTTCTATACCTATAGGCCATAGGAGCCACGCATTTGCCAGACTGTTGAGGTCTTTGGGCAACTCCATGAACCCTAAGGCAGGCACCACACTCAGACCTTTAACCCTTCTGTCTCATTTAGGGGAAAAGGAAATTAGATTGGCCCTAAAAGGTACAAACAAATGGACGAACTGAAAGTCTGGTCTGTAGTTGTTCTGGCTATCTCTGACATTGTCATGTGCAGGAACAGGTAGTGCATATTGGATGGGCTGATTAGATCATCTACAGACTGAAGGGCATTCTCTCCTAGGGGGTAGTCAACAGGAGACCTTTTGGAAGCAGCGGCCGACAGTCTGCTGGCAACTAAACCTCACCCATCAAACCACTCCCCACTCAACTCGACAGCCCCACCTCAGCCAACAGCTTCAGATGGCAACTGGCTAATCAGATGATCGCTTCTCCTCTTGACTCCACTAACCAAATCCCCACCCCACTGCCTGCCACTAACTGGATAACAGGGGTATTAGACCACTTAAACCACATTAGAATCAAATGGCTTCCTAATCACCACCAATTTTTCTGGCAACTGAAACAGGAGAGGAGCAGGCTGGCGACTCAGCCTGTAATCCCACGGCTTGGGCGGCTGAGGTGAGTGGATGGCCTGAGCCCGCGGGTTCGAGACCCGCCTGGGCAAGTTGGCGAGAACTCGTCTCTACAATAAATCAAAAAAGTAGCTGGGCATGGTGGTGTGTGCCCGTAGTTCCAGCTACTTGGAAGGCTGAGGTGGAAGGATCACCTGAGCCCAGCAGGTCGAGGCTCCGGTGACCAGGAGCGGCCACTGCACTCCAGTCTGGGCGACAGAGTGAGACTCCAACTCAA